CTTTCCCCCCTCCGCCTCCACCCCAAGAGCGTGGCCCCTCCGCGAGTTCCCCAGGACACGTCGGCCCATCCATCCTTGCGCAGCCAGCGTGCCCTGGGCCTTCCTGCTCTGGAGCATCGCCCCTGATTGGAAAAAGCCACACCCCACACCTCTTGGGACACGCATCGCCTGGGAGGGATACAAAAATTATCCCGGCAAAGCAACCTAACAGCGATGTGTAGGAGCATATCTGGAAGCATTCCCCTTAAGATTCAGATGAGAATCCAGTTGTAGAATTCTGCTGTTCTCGCAGTCGTAGTCGCATTCGCGATGACAGTCGCAGTGGCAACGGCAGTCACAGTCACAGCCACAGCCTCAGCCTGCCTCAGCCTCAGCCTCAGCCTGCCTCAGCCTCAGCCTGCCTCAGCCTCAGCCTCAGCCTGCTTCAGCCTCAGCCTCAGTCTGCCTTCAGCCTCGGCCTCAGCCTCAGCCTGCCTCAGCCTCAGCCTGCATCAGCCTCAGCCTCAGCCTCAGCCTGCCTCAGCATCAGCCTGCCTCAGCCTCAGCCTCAGCCTGCCTCAGCCTCAGCCTCAGCCTGCTTCAGCCTCAGCCTCAGTCTGCCTTCAGCCTCGGCCTCAGCCTCAGCCTGCCTCAGCCTCAGCCTGCCTCAGCCTCAGCATCAGCCTGCCTCAGCATTCAAAATGTGGCCCGGGAATGGAGTTCTGGGAACTCGAAGAACACGAAGTGGCCTACAGTTGGCTCCGGGCATTCAAAATCATGCCCAGGAATGGAGTTCTTCATTCAAAATGTGGCCCGGGAATGGAGTTCTGGGAACTCGAAGAGCACGAAGTGGCCTACAGTTGGCTCCGGGCATTCAAAATGTGGCCCGGGAATGGAGTTCTGGGAACTCGAAGAGCACGAAGTGGCCTACAGTTGGCTCCGGGCATCCAAAATGTGGCCCGGGAATGGAGTTCTGGGAATCGAAGAGCACGAAGTGGCCTACAGTTGGCTCCGGGCATCCAAAATGTGGCCCGGGAATGGAGTTCTGGGAAATCGAAGAGCACGAAGTGGCCTACAGTTGGCTCCGGGCATCCAAAATGTGGCCCGGGAATGGAGTTCTGGGAAATGGAAGAGCACGAAGTGGCCTACAGTTGGCTCCGGGCATCCAAAATGTGGCCCGGGAATGGAGTTCTGGGAAATGGAAGAGCACGAAGTGGCCTACAGTTGCATCCGGCCCTCCAGAATGTGGCCTGGGAATGGAGTTCTGGGAAGTCGAAGAGCTCGCCCCTGATTGGAAAAAGCCACACCCCACACCTCTTGGGACACGCATCGCCTGGGAGGGATACAAAAATTACCTTGTGACGTACCCAACCCATTTGTATCCATGGAAACGAGGAGTTGGCCGAAACTTGTATGGACAATCAACTTGATGTGTAAGCTACTTGGGAGGCGTCATTGTGCTGGGCCCCGCAAGCAGGCTTCGAAAGTGGCGACAGTTTCACAGATCGCAGCCCCCCAGGGATGGCGAGGTCTAATTTGAATCTGCGTGTGGTGTCACTGCGCTGGGCCCCCCAGTTTCACAGATCGCAGCCCCCCAGGGATGGCGAGGTCTAATTTGAATCTGCGTGTCGGTACCCACTGTGCTGGGCCCCGCAAGCAGGCCTCGAAAGTGGCGACAGTTTCACAGATCGCAGCCCCCCAGGGATGGCGAGGTCTAATTTGAATCTGCGGTGGGTACCCACTGTGCTGGGCCCCCCAGCAGGCCTCGAAAGTGGCGACAGTTTCACAGATCGCAGCCCCCCAGGGATGGCGAGGTCTAATTTGAATCTGCGGTGGGTACCCACTGTGCTGGGCCCCCCAGCAGGCCTCGAAAGTGGCGACAGTTTCACAGATCGCAGCCCCCCAGGGATGGCGAGGTGCAATTTCAATCCGCCGTGGGTACCCACTGTGCTGGGCCCCCCAGCAGGCCTCGAAAGTGGCGACAGTTTCACAGATCGCAGCCCCCCAGGGATGGCGAGGTCGAATTTAATCTGCGGTGGGTACCCACTGTGCTGGCCCCCCCAGCAGGCTTCGAAAGTGGCGACCGTTTCACAGATCGCAGCCCCCCAGGGATGGCGAGGTCGGATTTGAATCTGCAGTGGGTACCCACTGCGCTGGGCCCCTCAGCAGCCCTCGAAAGTGGCGACAGCTTCACAGACCGCAGCCCCCCAGGGATGGCGAGGTCGAATTTAAATGTGCGGTGGGTACCCACTGTGCTGGGCCCCTCAGCAGGCCTCGAAAGTGGCGACAGTTTCACAGATCGCAGCCCCCCAGGGATGGCGAGGTCAAATTTGAATCTGCGGTGGATACCCACTGTGCTGGGCCCCCCAGCAGGCCGCGAAAGTGGCGACAGTTTCACAGATCGCAGCCCCCCAGGGATGGCGAGGTCACATTTGAGTCCGCCGTGGGTACCCACTGTTCTGGGCCCCCCAGCAGGCTTCGAAAGTGGCGAAAGTTTCACAGATCGCAGCCCCCCAGGGATGGCGAGGTCCCATTCGAGTCCGCCGTGGGTACCCACTGTGCTGGGCCCCTCAGCAGCCTTCGACAGTGGCGACAGTTTCACTGATCGCAGCCCCCCAGGAATGGCGAGGTTTAGTTTAAATCTGCGGTGAGTACCCACTGTGTTGGGCCCCTCAGCAGCCCTCGAAAGTGGCGACATGTTCACAGATCGCAGCCCCCCAGGGACGGCGAGGTCTAATTCGAATCTGCGGTGGGTACCCATTGTGCTGGGCCCCCAGCAGGCCGCGAAAGTGGCGACAGCTTCACAGATCGCAGCCCCCCAGGGATGGCGAGGTCTCATTTGAGTCCGCCGTGGGTACCCACTGTGCTGCCCCCCCCCCGGCAGGCCTCGAAAGCGGCGACGGTCGGTTTCACAGATCGCAGCCCCCCAGGGATGGCGAGGTCCCATTTGAGCCCGCCGTGGGTACCCACTGTGCTGGGCCCCCCAGCAGGCCGCGAAAGCGGCGACAGTTTCACAGATCGCAGCCTCCCAGGGGTGGCGAGGTCCCATTTGAGTCCGCCGTGGGTACCCACTGTGCTGGGCCCCCCAGCAGGCCGCGAAAGTGGCGACAGCTTCACAGATGGCGACGAGGCCCATTGGCGACAGTTTCACAGATCGCAGCCCCCCAGGGTGGCGAGGTCCCATTTGAGTCCGCCGTGTGTACCCACTGTGCTGGGCCCCCCAGCAGGCCTCGAAAGTGGCGACAGTTTCACAGATCGCAGCCCCCCAGGGATGGCGAGGTCAATTTGAGTCCGCCGTGGGTACCCACTGTGCTGGGCCCCCCAGCAGGCCTCGAAAGTGGCGACAGTTTCACAGATCGCAGCCCCCCAGGGATGGCGAGGTGCAATTTCAATCCGCCGTGTGTACCACTGTGCTGGGCCCCCCAGCAGGCCTCGAAAGTGGCGACAGTTTCACAGATCGCAGCCCCCCAGGGATGGCGAGGTGCAATTTCAATCCGCCGTGTGTACCCACTGTGCTGGGCCCCCCAGCAGGCCTCGAAAGTGGCGACAGTTTCACAGACCGCAGCCCCCCAGGGATGGCGAGGTGCAATTTCAATCCGCCGTGTGCACCCACTGTCCTGGGCCCCCCAGCAGGCTTCGAAAGTGGCGACAGTTTCACAGATCGCAGCCCCCAGGGATGGCGAGGTGCAACTTCAATCCGCCGTGTGTACCCACTGCGCTGGGCCCCCCAGCAGGCCTCGAAAGTGGCGACAGTTTCACAGAGCGCAGCCCCCTAGGGATGGCGAGGTGCTATTTCAATCCGCCGTGTGTACCCACTCTGCTGGCCCCCCCAGCAGGCCTCGAAAGTGGCGACAGTTTCACAGATCGCAGCCCCCCAGGGATGGCGAGGTGCAATTTCAATCCGCCGTGTGTACCCACTGTGCTGGGCCCCCCAGCAGGCCTCGAAAGTGGCGACAGTTTCACAGATCGCAGCCCCCCAGGGATGGCGAGGTGCAATTTCAATCCGCCGTGTGTACCCACTGTGCTGGGCCCCCCAGCAGGCCTCGAAAGTGGCGACAGTTTCACAGATCGCAGCCCCCCAGCTGGCACGCAGCGACGAGCGAGGCAAAAGGCAAGGGGGAGGAGAGGGGCGGGAAGGAAGAAAGGAGACGCGCGAGCAGTGCTCTATTCAAAACGAGAACCCAACGCAGGAGGGTTGGGAAAAATCCTGCTTGGACCACCCGCAGACGTCCCAGGCCCCCTTTCCGTGGACCCCTCCCGCACGGAGCGTGTCCCAAGAGGTGTGGGGTACGGTTTTCTCCACGCCAAACGCGCGCTCCCCTTCGCCTTCCTCCTCGCCGCCCTTTGCTCGCGCCCCCCCTGTTCCTGCGGTTGCTGCTGCTGCCCCTGTTGCTGCTGCTGCTGCTGCTGCTGCTGCTGCTGCTGCTGCTGCTGCTGCTGCTGCTGCTGCTGCTGCTGCTGCTGCTGCTGCTGCTGCCGTTGCTCTCCCTCCGCCTCGTGCTGCCCCGCCTGCTGGACCCCGCCGCCCCTTCATCCCTGCTCCCCCCTGCCTCTCTATTCCCTGACGACGACGACGACACCGGCGACGACGCCGACGACGACGACGACGACGACCGCAATGACGCCGACGCCGACGCCGACGACGCCGCCGACGACGCCGCCGACGACGACGAGGACGAGGACGAGGACGAGGAGGACGAGGACGAGAAGGCCCCCGGGAGGCCCCCTGAGGTCCGCGTTGCTTCTGTTGTTGCTGGAGCTGCTGCTGCTGCTGCAGCTGTTGCTGTTGCTACTGCCGATGGTGCTGGATCTGCTGCTGCTGCTGCTGCTGCTGCTGCTGCTGCTGCTGCTGCTGCTGCTGCTGCTGCTGCTGCTGATGCTGATGCTGTTGATGCTGTTGCTACTAGCGCTGCTCCAGACGCCGTCAGGATCATCAAGCAAACAGCGCACCCTGAAGCAATAAGCAGCAGCGAGCGCACGCTCAATCCTCTGGCAATCGTGGACGGTAGTCCACGGGTCAGCCCTATCAGCTACAATGCTGGGATCAGCGCGTGCGAGAAGGGCGAGCAGTGGCAGCGGGCGCTGGCGCTGCTGAGCGAGATGGGGGAGGCGAAGCTGGAGCCCGACGTCATCTTCTCTACTATAATGCAGCGTTCAGCGCTCGCCAAGTAGGCGAGCAGTGGCCTTGGACTGGCCCCCTCCGGCGGCCACCCGCGCGTCCCTGGGGCCCCGGCGCGCTTCCAAGACGCCTTCAGAACGCTCCGAGCCGCCCCCGGAGGCCCCCAAGAGGTCCCGATGACGGCCGAAGACAGTCCAAGAGGGCCTCCGAAGCGAACCCCGAGCGCTCGAAGACGCCCAAGACAGCCGCCCGACGGCCCGAGAGGCTCCCATAATGCTCCAAATGGGCTCCAGAGAGGGCCTCTGGAGAGCCCGAACAAGGAAAAATCGTCCCCATCCGTAGGGAAGACGTACATTTCGGGAGTTCCCGTGCTTTTCGTGTTCGAAGCGTCCCAGACGGCCGCACAGGCCTTCAAGATCGTCCCAAGACGCCTCAGGAGGCTGCCAGGAAGGCCCCAAGACAGCTCAACACTGCGCCAGGGCGGCTCCTCAGGCGCCCATGGCGGCCCCAAAAGGGGGCCAGGACAGGGTGGGAGCGCTCCCGAGGGGCCCCAAGAGGGAGCCCCAAGAGGGCCCCGACAAGGCCCCATGACGCATGTACTTGGGTGCCCCTCTTCTCGCAAGCCCAAGAAGCATGTCAAGTGCATACGGTTTGGGGCCCTCTTGGGGCCTCCTGGGGGCGATCTTGCGGCCCTGTTGAGGCCTTAGGGCCCCTCCAAGACAGGGCTGGCTGCATTCTGCCACAGAAAGGCCTCTCGTGGCAGAATGGTGGTCCCGCGCCCAGCGGCGTCCTGGGGCCCTGATCGTCCCAAGACGCCTCAGGAGGTTGCCCGGTGGGCCCCAAGACGACTCAACAGTGCGCCCGGACGGCTCCTTAGGCGCCCATGGCGGCCCCGAAGAGGGGGCCAGAACAGGATGGGAGCGCTCCCGAGGGGCCCCAGGGGCCCCAGCGCGCTTCCAAGACGCCTTCAGAACGCTCCGAGCCGCCCCCGGAGGCCCCCAAGAGGGCCCGATGACGGCCGAAGACAGTCCAAGAGGGCCTCCGAAACGAACCCCGAGCGCTCGAAAACGCCCAAGACAGCCGCCCGACGGCCCAAGAGGCTCCCATAATGCTCCAAGTGGGCTCCAGAGCGGGCCCCAGGAGAGCCCGAATAAGGAAAAATCGTCCCCATCCGTAGGGAAAACATACATTTCGGGAGTTCCCATGCTTTTCGTCTTCGAAGCGTCCAAGACGGCCACACAGGCCTTCAAGCTCAGGAGGCTGCCAGGAGGCCCCAAGACGGCTCAACACTGCGCCAGGGCGGCTCCTCAGGCGCCCATGGCGGCCCCAAAAGGGGGCCAGGACAGGGTGGGAGCGCTCCCGAGGGGCCCCAAGAGGGGGCCAGCAGAGCCCCAAGAGGGCCCCGACAAGGCCCCATGACGCATGTGCTTGGGTGCCCCTCTCGCAAGCCCGAGAAGCATGTCGAGTACATGCGGTTTGGGGCCCTCTTGGGCCTCCTGGGGGCGATCTTGCGGCCCTGTTGAGGCTTTCGGGCACCTCCAAGACAGGGCTGGCTGCAATCTGCCACAGAAAGGCCTCTCGTGGCAGAATGGTGGGCCCGCGCCCGGCGGCGTCCTGGGGCCCTCTTGGAGCCCTCTGGGGGACCTCTTCGTGCCCTCTGGCACCACCCATGGTTTGGCAACCCCCGCCGCCAGTGGCAGCAAGCACAGGTACACACTAACTCTGATACAATGCAGGGGCAGGTGCGTGTGAGACGATTGGGGGTCCGACAGGCTTTTTCTCAGCCCCAGCGGCCCCTGCGAGACCCAGCAGGCCCTCGGGCGCTTAAAGGATGGCCAAAGAGCGCTCCGAGACGCCCCCGGAGGCCCCCAAGAAGGCCCCAAGGGGGCCCAAGACCGTCCAAGAGAGACTCCAAGGCGCCCAAGATTCATTCTACACGGCTTCAGACGCCTCTGGAACGTCCCGACGGGGCACCGAGAAGGGCCCCGAGAGGGCCCGAACAAGAAAAAATCGTCACAATCCCTAGGGAAAACTGACACTGTTGTAATTCCTGTGCTTTTCGTTTCCGACGCTTCCACGATGGCCATACAGGCTCCCAAGAGTGCCTCAAGATCGCTCAGGGCAGCCGCATAAGGGCCAAGACAGCCCAGCACAGCATCCAGACGGCTCCTGAGGCGTTCATGACAGCCCAAGAGGCATCCAAGAAAGCCTCAAGAGCCGCCCAAGACGGCGCCAAGACGATCTTTAGACGGCCGCAGAGGCGCCCAAGACGGCCCAGGCGGCCCCAAGACGGCCCCAGCGGCACCCAAGACGACCCAAGAGAGTCCCAAGAGGCCCCCGGTAGGCCGAATGACGCCCCAGGGGCGCCGCAGGAGGCGTGCAGGAGACCGAAAGAAGCTCCGAAAAGCTTCCAAACTATCCCAGGAGAAGGCAGCGCCCGCCTTCAGGTTTCTACCAGACAAGCAAAAAAGTTCCCAGCGCTTGCGAGCCGTACCCTGGACGCGCTTCGTGGCCGCATCCGGACCGCTGCCCTTCTCCGTGGGTGCGGGCGCCCGCCGTCACGCTTCACCCAGGCAAGCGGGAAGAGCTCACTACAGCTTTCCGGGCGTACCCCGCCCACGGATCTTCGCCGCATTCAGAGCGCTGATCTTCTCCGTGGGTGCGGGCGCGAGAGCGCGAAGGTATGCGCGTATGGCACGGAGCCGCGCCGTGGAGGCGCACCAGGGGGACCTGAAGGTCGTGGGCGAAGTCCACGGGTTCGCCCCAGTCAGCTACAATGCTGGGATCAGCGCGTGCGAGAAGGGCGAGCAGTGGCAGCGGGCCCTGGTGCTGCTGAGCGAGATGTGGAAGGCGAAGCTGAAGCGCAACGTCATCAGCTACAATGCTGGGATCAGCGCGTGCGAGAAGGGCGAGCAGTGGCAGCGGGCCATGGCGCTGCTGAGCGAGATGCGGGAGGCGAAGCCGGAGCCCGACGTCATCTCTCCTACATGACCGGTGGAAGCGCGTGCGGGAAGGGAAACGGATCAAATGTCCAACATCGGCCTCGGCGGGCCCCTGGTGCGTCCCTGCGTGCCTCCGGGCGGCTCGAGCACGCTTCGGGACGCCTTCAGGGAGCGCCGAGATCGGGCCGAGAGTTTCAACATAGCCCCAGAGAACGTCCTGACGGGTCGCGGCGGTCAGAAATCATTGATGTTTCTATGTTTTCTGCTGGATCGCGATTTCGAGCCAAGAGCGGCCCAAGAGGGCTCCAAGACGGCTCCCGGAGAAGCCCAAGACGGCCTAAGAGAGCCACAAGATTGCCCGAGAAAGTCCCTTGGAGCCCCTAAACGAGCCCCAAGAGCTTCCCAAGAGGGCTCACGAAGAGCTCCGAGACAGCCCAAGAGCCCCAACATGGCCCCAAGACGGCCCAAGAGACCGTCGAGACGGCTCGCGGTGGCCAAAAATCATTGATTGTCTTGTGGTGTTTGCCTGATTTTCAGTTTCGCGCGTTTTCGACCTCAGAGCGGCCAAAGACGGCTCCCAGGCCCCCCCAAATGCTCGAAGGCTCAAGAGGCTCCAGCAGGCCCCAACAGGGCTTAGGAGTGCTCCAAGACGGCTCCCGGAGGAGCCCAAGAGAGCCCCAGACGGCCCGAGAGAGCCCCCAGGAGCCCCTAAACGGGCCCCAAGAGCCGTCCAATAGGGTTCACAGAGAGCTCCGAGACAGCCCAGCACCCCCAATATGGCCTCAGCACTGCCCCAGAGGCCGTCCAGACGGGCCGCGGCAAACGAAATCATTGATTGTCTGATGGCTTTTGAAGGAATTCCACCTTCTCGCCATTTCGAGAGGCTCCTATGGGCCCTGGATGCTTGTGATCTTGGAAGCGTCGTCTTAGAAACAACGATTGGCACGATGAATTATCGAGGGGGAGAAAGGTGGAGGGACGGAGAAAGAGGAGGAGGATCCAGCAGCAGGGAACAGAAGCAACGCGAGCAGCAGCTGCAGCATCAGCACGCGTTGACATCACCAGTACCAATCAGCATCCTGCAGCAAGCAGCAGCAAGCAGGCGGCAACATCCACCACGTGGCAAAAACTAGCTCGTGCACCATCAACTACAGTGCTGAGATCAGCGCGTGCGAGAAGGGCGAGCAAGCGACCTAAGAGGAGACCAAATGTGTAATTGTTTGGCCACGCGCGCGTCGAGGTCCTCGCTCCCTCGCCCATTGCTCAACGCTCCTCTCTCCTTGATCCTTGCTCATCTCCCCTCACTCCTCGCTCGCTCGTTTCTCCCGGCCCCTGGCACATCCTGGCACCTTCCACACCCGCAGGGCCTCTCACGGCCTCGGAGTGGCCCGACGCGCCTCGAAGACGGCCCACACAGTGCAAGCTCAAGAATTCTAGACGCTTCGCGTATCCCCACCAGCCCGTCCAGAAACGACGCCCAGGCGAGTAGAGGGTCGTCCTGAGGAACTTTTCGGCGTCTTGGGTGCCTCGGGGGGGCCTCTGTGGGCCGTTCGGGATCCTCTTTGGGGCCTCCTGGGGGCCTCTTGGGGCCTCTTGGGGCCATCTTGGGGCCTTTGGGGGCCTCCTGGGCGCTTCTTGGGGCCTCCTGGGCGCTTCTTGGGTGCCTCTGGGGGGTCTCTTGGGGCCTCTTGGGGGTCTCTTGGGGGCCTCCTGGGGGCCTCTTGGGGGGCCTCGGAGCCATCTTAGAGGAGATCGATCAACGAAGGGGGGTTCCCTAATTACAGTCCCCCCCTCAGGAGCCACGATCCTCGTGAGGGGTGTCGAATTTTAGCCCTCCCAGGGGTCGATCTTGGACGCTCCAACTCGCCGCGGAACCCCCTGTCCAGGTCAGTGGGGAGGGGGTAGGGGGAGGGGTAAACCCTTCCCCGAAGGGGAAGAAGGAGGGGTGGAAGAGGAAACGCTCTAAACCACCGACGCCCAGAGGGCTGGTGGGATTATGCATCTTCCTTGGGGCGAAAAATAATACATACTTGGGCGGCCAAAGATCGCCGGATGCACGTGCGTCGACATCAGGCGAAGAATAGCGGGCAGCCCTGAGGGGGGGATGGGAGGGGGTCGGTAACGCAACGCTCCATCACAAGATGACCTCAAGACGGTCCCAAGCAGCAAGCGGCAGTAAGCGGCAGCGAGCGGACGAGCAAGCAATGAAGCAAGCAACAAAGAAATCAGGTGATCAGGCGGCGGGTTGTAGGCCACCCGGCCAGCAAAGTCGTTGGCGGCAGTGCAGACAGTAAGTGGCACAGACAAGCGAGCCTCACCTTTGCATGCGAGTAAGCTTTCGTGGCCGCCGGGGGAATTATGACCAGATCGGGCCACATGCTGTGGACGGAGTCCACGGGTCAGCCCTGGTCAGCTACAATGCTGGGATCAGCGCGTGCGAGAAGTGCGAGCAGTGGCGGCCGGCGCTGGCACTGCTGAGCAAGATGCTGGAGGCGAAGCTGGAGCCCGACGTCATTTTTCCTACATGGCCCGGGGAAGCGCGTGCGGGAAAGGAAGCGGATCAAGTGTTCAAAATCGGCCTCGGCGGGACCTTGGCGTCCTTGGCACGGGCCGGCGTGCCTCCAGGCGGCTCGAGCACGCTTCGGGACGCCTTCAGGGAGCGCCGAGATCGGGCCGAGAGCTCCAACATGGCTCCAGGACGGCCCCAGAGGCCGTCCAGATGGCTCGCGGCGGCCAGAAATCATTGATTGTTCGATGGTTTTCGGTTGATTTTCAAGTTCTCGCGATTTCGAGCCAAGAGAGGCCCAAAACGACTCTTGGGGCCCCCCGAACACTCCGAGGTCGCCCAAGAGCTCCAGCAAGGGCCCCAAGACGGCTCAGGAGGGCTCCAAGACGGGTTCTGGAGGAGCCCAAGACGGCCCAAGCGAGCCCCGAGACGGCCCGAGTGAGCCCCCAGGAGCCCCTAAACGGGCCCCAAGAGCCGCCCCAGAGAGCTCACGGAGAGCTCCGAGACAGCCCAACATGGCCTCCAGACGGCCCAAGAGGCCGTCCAGATGGCTCGCGGCGGCCAAAAATCATTTATTCTTCTACGGTTTTCGCCTTGTTTTTTCAGGTTCTCTCGACTTCGAGCTGGGAGCCGCCCAATACGGCTCCCGGGCCCCCCACGAATGCTCTCCAAGGTTCAAGAGGCTCCGGCAAGGGCCACAAGACTGCTCAGGAGAGCTCCAAGACGGCTCCCAGAGGAGCCCAAAACGGCCGAAGACCCAAGACGGCGCGAGAGAGCTACCAGACGAGCCAAGAGCTGCCCAAGAGGGAACACAGGGAGGTCCGAGACGGCCTAACACCCCAAAGATGGCCCCTACACGGCCCCAGAGGCCGTCCAGACGGGCCGCGGCAAACGAAATCATTGATTTTTGCTCAGGTTTTTGAAAGATTCCCACTTTCTCGCCATTTCAAGCCAAGACCAGCCCAAGACGGCCATTTCGAGCCAAGACCGGCCTCAGCTGACGTGGACGAAGTCCACGGGTTCGCTTTGGTCAGCTACAACGCTGGGATCAGCGCGTGCGAGAAGGGCGAGCAGTGGCAGCGTGCGCTGGCGCTGCTGAGCGAGATGCGGGAGGCGAAGCTGGAGCCCGACGTTATCTTCTCTCCTACATGGCCCAGGGAAGCGAGTGCGGGAAGGGAAAAGGATCAAGTGTCCAAAATCGGCCTCGGCGGGCCCTTGGAGCCCCTGGCGCGGCCGGGCGTGCCTCCAGGCGGCTCGTGCACGCTACGGGACGCCTTCAGGGAGCGCCGAGATCGGGTCAAGATCCCCAACATGGCGCCAGGACGGCCCCAGAGGCCGTCCAGACAGCTCGCGGCGGCCAGAAATCATTGAGTCTGCTATGGTTTTGATTTTCAGGTTCTCGCGACTTCGAGCCAAGAGCGGCCCAAGAAGACTCTTGGGAGTCCCCCGAACGCTCCAAGGCCGCAAAGAGCTCCGGCAAGGGCCCCAAGACGGCTCAGGAGGGCTCCAAGACGGGTTCTGGAGGAGCCCAAGACGGCCCAAGCGAGCCCCGAGACGGCCCCAGAGAGCTCCCAGGAGCCCCTAAACGGGCCCCAAGAGCCGCCCAAGAGAGCTCACGGAGAGCTCCGAGACAGCCCAAGAGCCCCAACATGGCACCAAGACAGCCCAAGAGGCCGTCCAGACGGCTCGCGGCGGCCAAAAATCATTGATTCTTCTATGGTGTTCGCCTGATTTTCAGGTTCTCTCGATTTCGAGCCAAGAGCGGCATAAGACGGCTCCTGGGCCCCCCACGAATGCTCCAAGGCTCAAGAGGCTGCGACAAGGGCCACAAGACGTCTCAGGAGAGCTCTAAGACGGCTCCCAGAGGAGCCCAAAACAGCCCGAGAGAGACGCAAGACGGCGCGAGAGAGCCCTCAGGATCCCCCAGACAGGCCCCAAAAGTTGCCCAAGAGGGAACACAGGAAGGTCCGAGACGGCCTAACACCCCCAAGATGGCCCCTACACGCCCCAGAGGCCATCCAGACGGGCCGCGGCAAACGAAATAATTGATTGTTTTATGCTTTTTGAAAGGTTCCCGCCTTCTCGCCATTTCGAGCCAAGACAGGCCCAAGACGGCCATTTCGAGCCAAGACCGGCCCAAGATGACGTGGACGAAGTCCACGGGTCAGCCTTAGTCTCTACTACATTGCACGGCCCCGCGCGTGCGAGAAGTGCGGGGGTCGGACACGTTCCTCCTGCGGGCCTTGCGGGCCCCCGCGAGCCCCAGCTGACCTCGGCGCGCTTCCAGGAAGGCCCACGAGCGCTCGGAGACCCTATCGGACCAAGAGCTCTCGCAGACGCCCAAGATAGCCTCCAGACGTCCCAAGGGGCGCCCAAATTGCTCCAAGTGGGCTCCAAGAAGAGCCCTGAGAGAGCCCGAACGAGGAAAAAGATTCCAAATCCTTGAGGAAAACGTCCATTTTGGCTATTCCAGTGCTTTTCGTTTTCAAAGCGCCCAAGACGACAATATTGTCTCCCAAGATCGTCACAAGAGGGCCCAGGAGGCCCCCGGGAGGGCCTCAAGACGACCCAAGGCGGTCCCAGGACGGCTCCTGCGACGCCCATGACGGCCCAACAGGCTCCCAATGACAGCCCCAAGCCAAAGACGACCCAAGAGAGCCCCGAGGCGGCCCGAAGACAGCCCCGGAGCCGCCCGAGACGGTCCCAGACGACCCAAAGACGGCCCAAGGGGCACCCAAGACGGCCCAAGATGGCCGCCAGACGGCCCAACAGGGCCCCAAGAGGTTCTTACAAGACGGAACAGAAGCCCCAGGGCGCGGCCACACCCACGGAAAAAGAAAAACGATTTCGACGTTTATTTTCTGACGCCCTGGGGCGGAGCAATGAACCCTCGCCCAGGATGTGCGTCGATTCGCCACGTCCACGGAAGGCCAGTACCTGCTTCGAAGTCTTCCCCCCAGGCTTCAGATGGGGCACAACGTCTCGCCCAGATCGTTCGTGGACCAACGACGCCCATGAAAAATACTCCGTAACCTTGGAGGCCATTCTCCATGGTCCCGCGGTCGGCCCAAGAAAAGCCCCCCAAGACCGTTCCTCGGCCCGCCACGTCGACGGAAAATAAGCACCACGCTCGAGGTTGATTATCCGAGGTCCCAGGTTGGCAAAAGGGTTCTGGAGAGACGTCTTTCGTCAACCTGCGCTTTGGCGCTTACTCTGGAGTTCTGGGTTTCGTTTCTGCGGCGTTCTGTCTCTACCCTCCCAATGCATGGCCCGGGGCGCGGCCACACCCACGGAAAATAAACCCAGACTTGGAGGTTTGTTTTCTGACGCCCTGGGGAGGAGCAATTAACCCTCGCCCAGGACGTTCGTCGGCTCGCCACGTCCACGGAAGGCCAGTACCAACTCTGACGGCTTCCTTCCAGGCTCCTGATGGGGCACAGACGTCTCGCCCGGATCGTTCGTGGATCAACGACGCGCACGAAAAAGATTCCGTAACCTCGGAGGCCATTCTCCAGGGTCCCGCGGTCGGCCGAACGGAAAACAAACACGCTTAAGGTTTATTCTCCGCGGTCCCAGGTGGGCTCCAGGGTTCTGGCGAGACGTCTTTCGCCAACCTGCGCTTTGGCGCTTACTCTGGAGTTTTGGGTTTCGTTTCTGCGGAGATGGAGGGTGGAGGAGAAACTAATGTGTCAGAGAAGGGCGCGCAGCAGTTCTACCCTCCAGCTCGGCGCACCCCTCACACGGCTCATCGCTGCATGCGGAGCGCTGCCCGTCTCCGAGGGTGCGGGCACAAGGGCGCGAAGGTTACCAGGCCTCGCGCGGCGCAGCGCCGCAGGGTGTTTGGGTGGCACAGGATCTGGGCGTGCTTCCGAGGGGCGGCCCAGGCGGTGGACGCAGAGACGATGCCAGCCTCTGCCCAGGCTCGGGCCAGACGAAATCGGCAGAGGCCGAGTTCACACACAGACAGATCGCCTTCAGGAAGTCTCCTCGCCGTCACGGCTGGACGCAGCAGACAACATTGGTGCGCTTCGACAGTGGGGGGGGGGCCCAGGGACCGATTCTGACCGCTCTGCCCCCCCTTCCTCGGCCGCGACAGGCTGTGCAGGCCCGCGGGACGCCCCGCCAGTTCGACGGAGTGTGGGCCTCAACCACCGGCCAGGCGCTGGCGGCGCGCCGCGCGCCACCGTCATCGTCGCCGTCGCTGCCACTGCCAACGTCCAAAGCGGAGCGCTGCTGGAGAACGGGCTCACGCCATGTGGATAGTTTTTCGGCAGCGTTTCCGCCGCTCCCCCCTAGAACCATTTCGGCAAGATGTCGTGGACGGAGTTTACGGGTCAGCCCTAGTCAGTTACAACGCTGGAATCAGCGCGTGCGAGAAGGGCAAACAGTGGCAGCCAGCGCTGTCGCTGCTGAGCGAGATGCGGGAGGCGAAGCTGGAGCCCGACGTCATCAGCTACAGCACTGGGATCAGCGCGTGCGAGAAGAGCGAGCAGTGGCAGCGGGCCCTGGCGCTGCTGAGCAAGATGTGGGAGGCGAAGCTGGAGCCTGACGTTATTTGCATTACAACTCTGTAGTGCAATTTGTTCAGTGTTTGAAGGTTTTCCGTGTTCTCGCCATTTCAAGCCAAGAACGGCCCCAGACGGCTCTAGGGCCATCCTAGATCGCCCCAAAGACGCTCCAGGAAGCCCCGCCAAGTGCCCCAAGACGGCCCCAGAGGGCCCGAAGATTGCGCAGGAGAAGCCCGACAGCCTCATAGAGCCCCTGGTGGCCCCCAAGACAGCCCCAAGAGGGCCACAGGAACTGCCCAACAGGCACCAAAGCGAGTTCCAAGACGGCCTGAGACTCCCGACAAGGCCCCAGGACGGCCCAAGGAAGCCCCGAAATGGGACCAGAGGGCCCCTAGATGTTTTGGAGAAACCCGCACGATGGCTCGAAGAGGGGCCGAAGGAAGCCCAGACGACGCCCTTCCCGCAGCCTCGCTGGGCCAAGAACCCTCCAAGGATCATGCCCACATTCCCGAAAGCCTCCCAAGAGACTCCGATGGTTCCCAAGAGCTCCCAAGGAGAGTGGCTCGAACCCCAAACTCCCCCAAGAAAGCCCCAGACGCCCAAGGCGGGCCCCAGACCACTCCGAGATTCCCCAGAGCATCCCGAGAGACTCCAATAGTCCCCACAGAGCTCCCAAGAGCGGTCCCAGGGGCCACTCTGACATACCCCAGAGTCGCCTACAAGACTCCGACACTTGCCAAGAGACTCCGACATTTCCCACGGAGCTCCCAAGAGCGGTCGGTCCCAGGAAGAGATTCCCACAGTTGCCACGGAGCTCCCAAGGGCGATCCCAGGACCATTCCGGGATGGCCGATTAGGGCCTTCTCCTCTGATCTTTTCCTCCTTAC